TTCCTCTCTCTATCTTTCTCTCCTTATATTTCTTTCTATATCTATTTCTTCCCCTTTCTATTCTCTAAACTATTACTATAAATTATTCATCGCAAAGTCCTTTTAACTAAGACAAGTAGAACTCACTAAGGAGTTTATTTGTTTTCTTCCTCCTATAATCGCCTGAAGTCAACCATCCTTAAGAGACTGCAAGTTGACTATCCACAATTGAACCATATAGTTGGTTCTGGCACGCCCACACTACATCAATTTAAGATCGGCTTTAGCCGGCCGATTTTAGCGTCAACATTTTTTGCACGCCCGGTAGGACAACAGTGGGTAAATAATTTAATTTACAACAACGATGCCTCCCAAGAGGAACACAAAGAATACGAATTCAAATGAAGAAGAAGATGAGGAAGTCCAACCAACTGGTCAAGCCAGATCTCATACAGTAGGAGCTTCCTTCCCATCGGATGTTCCATTTATGCAAATGCATGAATCCATTCGGCAGGGAATGGAAAACCAGGAGGCCCGTTTGGGAGCTCGCATTGATGGGATCGGTCAAAAGGTTAATGCTCGCATGGATGGGGTGGATCAAAAAATGGATGGAGTGTCAAATCAACTATCGGTGATTCAAAGCCGATCTGATCAGGTCGAAGCTTCAAATGTGCATGAGTCATTGGTTTGGCATATTTCTTCATCAAAGGTGATTATCCCTGAAGAACCAAGGACAACAATGACGGGAGTTATGGTGCCAAATCCAACTATCGGCATGCCGATCAGCATGATGCTAACTCAAACACTGGGTATCACAATCGCAGTGTGCCGAACCAAACTCTTGGCATGCAGATTGGTAATCCACTGATATTATCAGATCCGCCAACAATAATGACTGTGCCAGTGTATCAGCCACCGGTGAATAATCAGCATAATCAAAATGTGCAGCGCCCATATGCGCAACCGATTCCTCCCATAAGAGATCAATAAGAAAGGGGCAATCAAAATCAAGGTAGGTTTAATCCACTAATACCACCGACGGCTACCGGGGGGCAAGCAAATGCCAATCCACAAAGGGAGTGGGTTAATCCATTCATTCTGCGGCATCCAAATGATCCTCCAGGAAGAAATGCAGGGATTGATAGGGCTCAGATTCTGGCTTTAATATAGGTTAAAGTAGCACAGGATCGTAGACGTGCTCGGTCGGTATATAGAAAGCCTTATCCTGATCATGTTGATGCCCATGAATTGCTTAGAATTATCGGTATCCTGATTTTTCGATGTACTATGGGGAAGAGAATTTTTCTACGGTGCAGCACATTGCGAGGTTCATAGCACAGTGTGGGGAAGCAGGTCCTAATCCTTGGTTGAGGATGAGGTTATTCTCTAGCTCTCTTGCTGGGGCGGTATTTGAATGGTATAGTAATTTACCAGCAAACTCTATCCAGACATGGGATGAAATGGAAAAAGCCTTTCATACTCAATTCTATCGAACAGAGACAGAAGCTATGCTGGCAGACATATCTCGACTATCTCAGTTGCCGAGCGAGTCGTTTAAAACTTTTGTTACCAGGTTCAGAAAAGCTAAACTCAAATGCCGAGTAAGTTTGCCAGAACCAGAATATATCAAGTTGGCATTAAATGGTTTAGACATTGAACATCGCAAGAGGTTTGATGGGGTTGAGTTTCAAAATCTCTTCGATTTAGCAAACAGAGCTTCTCAGTATGAGGAGTTACTTAAAGAAGAAAAAGAGAGGAAGAATTCTTCTAAGGGTACCTATTACAAGGACCCTAATTATAAGGTATTCTCGGCAGAAGTTGAAGATGAATTAGAAGTTGAGGTTGCAGAGGTTAATATCAAGAAACCATACATCTGTGAGGCATTGGTTAAGCCTAAACTATCCACTGGGGGCAGTGCAACATCAACATCGGCAGCAAGGAAAGGTCCTTCCGATATGGGGAAAAGCTATTCTTTTGATTTGTCAAAAAAGATCAAATCTTTGATCACTTGATGGCCGATAAAATGATAACTTTGCCTAAGGGCATAAGATTCCATCGGCAAGTGACTTGAAAGGAAAAGAGTATTGTAAGTATCATAACTCTTGGAACGATGCTACTAAGATTGTACTGTTCTATGAGGTGTATTGCAGAAAGCTATTGACGAAGGTACTTTAAAATTCTCGGAGAAAACTTTAGAAACCATGAAGGTGGATACCAATCTATTCCCTACAATCACATCTACAAATATGATAAGCTTAGTCAAGCGAGGAAATCAGCAAGAGACTGAGAAGATATCAGGCGAGTTCTTTTCATTAAATGCGACATCTGAAGAGATGGCAGAACTATTGAGACAATTAAGGGAGGCTCAATTGGCCATGATCAACCATAGATGTTGCCCAAATTGCAAGGGGAAGTAGAAACCAAAGGAGCCTATAGAAGAGCCAACAGAGGTTCGACCAAAGAAGAAAGGAATTCTTAAGAGGCTTATTTTTCCAATTAAGCCTGGGGAAGAGCCTCGACAAGGTGATCCCAGCAGCAGTCATTTGAAGGCAGAAAAGAAGAATCGGCAAGAATATATATCTAGCCGATTTCATTACCAAAATCGACAACATAGTTTTAAAAGGCGGTCGCCAGTTCAATCAAAAATTTGGGTACAAAAAGGAGCCGATTCATATAAAGTGCAAACTGTAAAACCAAGGACAGACTTAGCAGAAGAGAGATGGACTTAAGTCAATCACCTAAAATTCCCCAAGTTTCAAAATAAGTCAGAATGGAGGCCTTACTCGATCTCAGAAATGTAAGGAACAAATGAGAAGGGCTGAGGGAAAAAGGAAGGCTGAAGAGGTAAGCAAAGAAGAGTTAGTTGAGGAAGTCAGTATTCTAGACACAGAATAGCCGAATGAGGTAGAGCAGCATTAACCAACTTGGCCCAGACGCAAAAATGAGTTCAGAATTCAGTTTGGCAGTTTCCCAGACGAAATGTCATGTAATATGGCATTTGTGTTACCAGCAATGTTCCAGGCCCCATCGGCATCAAATGCAAGTGCCGAAAATAAGAAGGAAACAGAAGATGGAAGTATAACCAAAGAGAAAAGTACTCAGCCGAGTCAAAATATATTGATTATTTCTTCAGAATCAGCAGAAAAGGTAGTCTTTGAGAAATCTTTATTAGCAATGACGCAGCAGCTAAGGCCTTTGTATGTTAAATTATGGGTAGAGGGCCAACATATTAATCGAGTATTGGTTGATAATGGCTCGGTCCTGAATGTTATTCCAGCTAATACTCTGAAGAAACTTGGTAAGAGTATGGAAGATGTTATTCCCACTGATGTAGCAATTTGTGGGTCTAATGGAGGTTCTACTAGCACTAAAGGGATTCTTCCTTTATAAGTCGAAGTTGGAGGTAGGACATCTTTTGCGGCATTCTTTATTATTGAATCCACAGCTTCCTATAATTTGTTATTAGGCCATGACTGGATTCATCCAAATATGTGCATGCCATCATCATTACACCAGATGCTGATTTTTTAGGATGGAGATAAGGTGAAAATAATGAATGCCGATGACAAGCCATTTGTGGCAAAAGTGTACTCGGCAGATGTTGTTTTGTATGACGAGGAATGTGTTCCTGTTTAATTCGTGGGAACAGGAGCTGACAGAAGACCTATATCGGCAACCATGAAAAGAAGTCTTGCTGATTGTGAAATCAGTGAGTTGCAACAGGAAACTTCCAGGTCGAAGGTAAAATTCCCTCGGCTGACTATAATTGAAGAAGTTGTCAATGGAAGCAAAACTTGAAAGAGAAACAGCTCGGCAGCAGGCCTTTAGGGCCACTTGCATCAAGTTACAAGCATACATAGCCAAAAAAATGGCTAAAAAGAGAAGCAATAATAGAGCCAGGATCATCGATTAATTTTGCTGAAGTTGATCATATCGGTAATGAAAAGTTGGATGCTATTCAGTTGGAAGACTTGGAATTAGCACCAGCTAAGCTTGATGATCTGAAAGTAGAAACTGAAGATCCATTAAAGGAAGTGAATTTAGGCACTGATGTAGAGCCAAGACCAACCTACATCAGTGCACTGTTAGAGCCAGAATTACAAACTAAGGTGATCAGTATGTTAAAAGAATACAGTGATTGTTTTGCTTAGAATTATGAGGAAATGTCGGGCTTGTCTAGAGATCTGGTGGAACATCGGTTGCCCATTAAAGATGGCTACAACCCATATAAATAGCCACCTCGTCGAATATCTCAAGATATAGTAGATAAAGTCAAGATGGAAATCAAACGATTGTTGGATGCCGGTTTCATTCGAACTACAAGGTATGTTGAGTGGCTATCAAATGTAGTTCCTGTTATTAAGAAAAATGGTAAATTACGAGTGTGTGTTGATTTTCGAAACATAAACTTAGCAACCCCAAAAGATGAGTATCCAATGCCGATAGCCAATCAATTGATTGATGCAGCAGCTAAGCATGAAATCATGTCTTTTATGGATGGACGCTCAGGCTATAATCAAATTTACATAACCGATGAGGATATCCTAAAGACAGCCTTTAGGTGTCCCGGATTGATTGGAACTTTTGAATGGGTAGTAATGCCTTTTGGTTTGAAGAATGCTGGTGCTACATATCAGCGAGCTATGAATTTTATCTTTCATGATATGCTCGGCAAGTTTATGGAGGTATATATTGATGATGTGGTAGTGAAATCAACGACAAAAAAGGAACATTTAGTCCATCTCAAAGTATCCTTTCAGACGATGAGGACTCATAAGTTAAAAATGAATCTAATAAAGTATGCCTTTGGAGTATCGGCAGGAAACTTTTTAGGTTTCTTGGTTCATCAAATGGGTATAGAGATCGATAGGAATAAAGCTAAGGCAATTATTGATGCTAGTGCGCCGAGAAGCAAGCAATAGTTGTAGAGGTTACTTGGGCAAGTAAACTATCTTAGGCAATTTATTACCAATACAGCTGGTAAGTTACATGTGTTTTCCCCACTACTCAAGTTAAAGCCGATGGAAGAATTCAAATGGGATGATACACATCAAAGGGCATTTGACCAAATTAAGAAATACCTATCGAGTCCTCCTGTCATGATGCCGCTAAGGAAGAAATGGCCGATGAAGTTATATTTATCGGCTACTGAAGAATCCATTGGAGCTATGCTAGCACAAGAAAATGAAGCAGGAAGTGAACAAACAATATATTATCTAAGCCGAGTTTTAACTCCAGTCGAGTGTAGATATATGCCGATTAAGAAATTATGTTTGGCTTTGTATTTTGCAGCAATGAAATTAAGAGTCTATATGTTGCCTGTTTTGGTTTATATTATTTGTCAAATAGATCTTATAAAGTATATGCTATCAAGGCCATTAATCACAGGCCGGATCGGCAAGTGGGCTTTGGCAATAATGGAGTTTAACATTGCATATGTTCCACAAAAGGCGATTAAAGGGAGAGCCTTGGCATATTTTCTTGCCGATCATCCCTCGCCTGAAATTGAGTCACAAGTGTTTGATGAGCTTAACTCAACAACCATATTCATGACCCCTTGGACTTTAATGTTCGATGGGTCAAGTACCAGTGAAGGCTCAGGAGCTGGTATAGTGATAATATCCCTAGCAGGGAACCAAATTTCGTTTTCCTTCTTTTTGGATTTCAGGTGCTTAAATAATCAAGCCGAGTATGATGCATTGATTATCGGCTTGGAAATTCTACTAGAAATGGCAGTCAAAGACGTCCATATTGTGGGGGATTCTAGTTTGGTGGTTAATCAAATTTCGGAAGACTTTAGATGTTTAAATTGGCAATTAAGGCCATTCCATTCATTGGCAACTCAATTGGTCAACCAATTTCACAATGTGACTTTGGAATACAGACCAAGGGCCATGAATAAAATAGCTAATGATTTAGCACAGACTGCCTCAGGAATAAGGGTGCCGAATGGTATGAAGGAATGGATAATGAAAATCACACGCCGATCTTTTCCATCGGCTGAAACAAGAAATCAAGCTATGGAATAAGTCTTTACCACTAATGTTACCGAGTTAGATAATGATGATTGGCGAATCCCTTACATCTTGTTCTTGCAACATCCAACTCTAGAAGCCGATCGAAGAACAAAAAGGAGTGCAATCGATTATGTACTTATGGATGGAGATCTTTATAAAAGATCGGCTGATGATGCTTTGTTATTTCAGTGCATTAGTAAGTTTGAGGGTTTGAAGAATATGGCAAAGGTACATAAAGGAATATGTGGAGCTCACAAAGCCGGCATAAAAATGAGGTGGTTGATACGCCAATATGGATATTATTGGCCTGGAATGAGGAAAAATTGTATGACCTATGCAAAAGGTTGTACAGATTGTCAAAAGTATGGTCCAATACAGTGGGTTCTAGCTATAGAGATGCAATTATTAGTTAAACCATGACCTTTCAGAGGTTGGGCCATGGATCTAATCGGCAAGATTAATCCTCCTTCATCAAAGGGTCATCATTGAATTATTTTAGCTACTAATTACTTTACCAAATGAGTAGAAGCCGAGGAATACGTATCGGTAACTCATAATACTGTCATACAGTTTTTGAAGCAACATATCTTTCACCAATTTGGATTACCAGAAACAATTGTTGCCAATAATGGATCTATGTTTCGAGCAAATGAAGTACTACAACTCGGCCGTGATATGCAAGTAAAAATGGTAACTTTAACACCCTACTATGCTCAAGGGAATGGTCAGGCAGAGGCTTCAAATAAAGTTGTGATTGAAATTATTGAGAAGATGATAAAGGATAAGCCGAGGCGTTGGCATGAAACCCTTTCAGAAGCCTTGTGGGCTTATAGAAATTTGAAGCGAACAAGTACCGGAACAACTCGTTATCGGCTAACATTTGGCCATGATGCTGTGTTGCCGATGGAGTTAAATGTGAAATCGGCAAGGGTGGCTTTACAACATAATTTTATACCTGCCAATTACAATGAGACTATGCTTGCTAAGTTAAAAGATTTGGATGAAGTTCAAAAACTTGCTCTGGACCACCTTATGATCCATAAAGCAAAGGTAATGAAGGCTTACAACAAAAGAGTGAAGTTCAAATCATTTGCAGAATGTGACATGGTGTGGCAAACGATTCTTCCACCTGGAAAGGTAGATAGAGTTTATGAAAAATGGTCCCCTACTTGGAAGGGACCATTTGTGGTTCACCAAGTGTTGCATGGAGGTGTATATAGGCTGAAGGATTTGAATAGCAAGGGCACACAGCAAAGATCTACATAACCACAATAGTAAAAAAAACCTATGTGTTCTTGTTCATTTACTTCAGTCCCATCTTCCCCTAACATTTCCTTTAAAAATGGGCCATGCAACTGTACATAGGGTTTAGACCCTTTTTACTTTGGAAAGTAAAAGGAAGTCTCTTTATCCTGGAGGAGGTAATTGATTTCATCTCCTCCAGGTTTCAAACCCGTTAGAAAGCAAACATCCCTCAATGTGGGGGACATCATGTCACAGTGCAAGTGTAGTGAATTAGTTGTGGGGGACCAAAAGTGCAAAGAAGCGAAAAACAGCGCTCGGTCAAAGGTAAAAGGAATCTTACTGAGTTGAATGATGTCAAAGATACCCATCATTTTGCACTGTTCTCCTTTCGCTGCTGATACACAATCCACCCAATCGTTCCATTGGAACATTGGTGGGTGCCAATTTCTGACGGAAATAGTGGGTCTATCCCCTTTCGCTGTCAGATAGAGAGGTTTTGAGAAAGGAAGGTGGTGCTCTGCTTGTGGATAAATAGGAGATAACGAAGGAGGGAATCGATTCAGAAACGCTAGGCCAAGTCCCTTAGCGTTTTCTGTGATATCGATTAACGTTGTGGTATCCAGTTCATTTTGACCTAGGGTTTTGATCGCTGATTTGGTTATTTGGGTATGTGATGTTGCTTTTGGAAAAGGGGTTTCCAAATTCAAATCACTCTGTTTCGTTTGTTTTGAAGCCATGATTGATGAAAACAAAGATGAAGTTGCAGAGAATTTTTGGGAACGAAATACGTTGATAGAAGCAAGTTTGTTGATATAAAGAGAAAAGTATGGTTTTTGTGGATGAGGAAGAGACGTGAAGTATAGGGATACAAAAGGTTAGATGCAGAATTAATGGTTGAAAGGATAGATTAGTTCAATCGGCATTTTTTGGAAATTACAACAATCATGATACTTAGGAGATTATATGGTATACATGTGTTTTCAATGCAATGGGTGTTGTTTGAATTTTGGAAGCCGAAGGGTTAAAATGGCTACCAAAATTGGGGGGCATTGTTGACACCCATTTTGGTAATTGGGTTTGGGCTATAATTGGGCTAAATGGACATTGATGTGGTAGAAGTTTGGGTCGTGAAGACATTGGGCTGAAGATATGCAGTATTGAATTTGGACTAAGCAATAGACTTGGGTTACGACTTGGATTGTAATTGGGCTGATTGTATGGTTGGGCTTTTAGTTGAAGGAAACGTTATGCAGTCCCACATGCGATATAAATGGCATGCAAAGATATATTTTGAATTTAAATGATGGATAAGGATTGTATTGTTAGTTTTTATCTTTTAGTTAAGTGCAGTTAGGTGTTAAGGTTATCAATAATTTGGTTTGTTTTAAACTAATAATAAGTTTGGTTATCGATAGGTCTAGACTTTATTTGAAGTTAGTAATTAGTTTTGATAGAGTTTGATGTACTTAGAATGCTTATGTATAGGATTTGTTTACATCTTATTCTATAAATAAACTCAGAGGCATGCTGTGATAGAGGTCCAGCACCCTCAGAATCATTTATTATTATTGTTTGCTTTTTGAAGCCTTTCTTAGAATAGCTTCCTTGCTCTTTCTTTTCTATCTCTATCTCTCAATATCTTGATCTTTTTCTCTTTTCATCTCTCTATCTTTCTCTCCTTATACTTCTTTCTATATCTATTTCTTCCCCTTTCTATTCTCTAAACTATTATTATAAATTATTCACCGCAAAGTCCTTTTAACTAAGGCAAGTAAAACTCACTGAGGAGTTTATTTGTTTTCTTCCTCCTATAATCGCCTGAAGTCAACCATCCTTAAGAGACTGCAAGTTGACTATCCACAATTGAACCATATAGTTGGTTTTGGCACACCGCACTACATCAATTTAAGATCGGCTCTAGCCGGCCGATTTTAGCGTCAACAGTTTGATTTTCATAAGAAATTTGATTTTCACTTAAAGATATTTTCATAAGCGAAACACTTAAAAATATTTTGGAAAACATTTTTTGGGTTCTTTTCAAAACATCAGAAAATAAAAAATGTAAAACATTTTACATGAGAAAGTTTTATTTGGAAAACATTTTACATGAAAAATATTTTACGAATGAAATTTTAATTGGAAATGGCAAGTCTAAGGAGTCAACGACAACTACGCGTTGATTTGAAGATTGAGGCCCGAGTGTTATTAGGATTAAAAAAAAAAAAAAATAGGGATTCAGCCAAGTTTATGCTTCTAAGGTTGTAACCAATTCGAACACAATATGATCCAAACCCGGTATTTGAATCAATTTTGGGGTTAGGTTTAATTTTTTATTATTATTATTTTTATTTTTTTTATTTTTATTTTTTTTTTCTTGAATGTTGGGTTTAAAATTGCAATGTCCAGGTTGAGCTATTTTGATGCATTGCTTCTCATTTTCTGGTGCAATGAAAAACCATGAGATGATAACCAGAACGTCACTCCAATGAGCGCAGGTATATATATTTATAATATACTAGTAAAAGACACGTGCGATGCACGTGACAAATGTTTTGTAACTTATGAAGTTTTTCTTTTCATATATTTTTTAATTATTTCAAAGAAATTATTTTATTTTATTTATATATTTCCTTGTCTTATTAATTTTTTTTTTATTAAAAAACTCATAATAAATAGATAAATACAAAGGTTATATGTGATAGAGTTCTATTTTAAAATTAATTAATAATTTTTTTATATTAAAAAATAAATACTGAAATGCTAAAACTATTTACACTTTTACATTTTATTTAGATGTATTATTATATTATTATATATTTTCTTTAAATATATCATTGTCTAATGTGATAGAGTTTTATAGAAAATAAAATAGATAATTTGTTGTAGAGTTTTATAAAATAATTTGTTGATTGTGGTAGAATTTTATAGAAATTTTTTTATTTTCTTTCAAAATATACTTGTCTAATTAGATTTCATTTTATTAAAAAACTCATAATAAATAGATAAATACATGTTATATGTGATAGAGTTTTAAAGAAATAAAATAATTAATTTATGGTAGAGTTAAGGTAATTTGTGTTAGTGTTTTACAGAAACTCTTTTAATATATCCTTATTTAACGTGATAGAGTTTTTTTAAAAATAAAATAGGTAATTTGTAGTAGAATTTTATAGAAATTATTTATTTTCTTTATATATATATATATATATATATATATATATATATATATCCTTGTCTAATTAGATTTTCTTTTATTAAAAAACTGTAATTTGTGTTAGACTTTTAAAAAGATTATTTTATTTTTTATATCAATTAATAAATATTTTTATATTAATAATCCTTGTCTAATTAGATTTTCTTTAATTAAAAAGCTCATAATAAATAAATAAACCGGTAATTTGTGTTAAAGTTTTATATACACTATTTTAAAATTTTATTTTATTTTCTTTAAATATATTCTTGTCTAATTAGATTTCTTTTCCTTAAAAAACTAATAATAAATAAATAAATACATGTTATTTGTGATAGAGTTTTATATAAAATAAAATAACTAATTTGTGGTAGTGTTTTATAGAAATTGTTTTATTTTCTTTAAATATATTATTGTCTAATTAGATTTTACTTTATTAAAAAAACTCATAATAAATATATAATGTGATAGAGTTTTATAGAAAATAAACCACTAATTTGTGGTAGATTTTATATAAATTCTTTTATTTTTTTTTAAATATATTTTTGTTTATATATATATGTTCTTTTATTAAAAAAAAAATCTCTTAATAAATAGATAAATAGGCAATATGTGTTAAAGTAAATCTTTTAAAAACTCTTTTTTTATCAATTAATTAAAATTATTTATATTAATAATTCTTGTCTAATTAGATTACTTTTATTATATAAAAAAAAAAAAAAAAACTCAAAATAAAAGATAATTTGTGGTAGAGTTTTAGAAATTTTTTTTTTTTTTTTATATTAATTAGTAAATATTTTTATATTAATAATTCTTGTCTAATTAGATTTTATTTTATTAGAAACTATAATGAATGAATAAATAGGTAATTTGTGTTAAAGTTTTATATAGACACTCTTTTAAAAACTCTTTTTAAATCAATTAATAAATATTTTTTTTATATTAATAATTCTTATCTAATTAGATTTCCTTTTATTAAAAAAAAGTCATAATAAATAGAAAAATAGCTAAATTGTGTTAGAGAAACTCTTTTAAAACCTTTTTTTTTATATCAATTCATAAATATTTTTTTTATATTAATAATACTGTAAAACTCATAATAAATAGATAAATAGGTAATTTGTGTTGGAGTTTTATAAAAACTCTTTAAATATATCTTTGTCTAATGTGATAGAATTTTATTGAAAAAAAAAAAAAAAAAAAAAGTGATTTGTGGTAGAGTTCAATAAAGTTGTTGAGAATAGTTGCAAAAAAAAAAAAAAAAAAAAAAAAAAAAATTTGTAAAAGAAAAATTTTTTGATAACTGTTTCAATGGTCCCAAGGAGTTGTTTTCCAAAGGTTGTTTGGGACAAAAAGTCGCACTCATACAGAATCTAAAATTCGTTGCTGCCAACTTATTTGATTTGAAAATTTGAATTCTCAAATTTAGTTTTTGTTAGTAAAAAAATAAAAAAATTAAAAAAAACATATAAAAAAATTTTAGCAACAAATTCATTTACTAATCAAGTCAAAACCCAAAATTATTGAAACCTGTATTAAGAATGAACAAAAAAATAAAAATAAAAACTGAGAAAAAAATTACAATCTAAAGTAAACTTAAAAAAATAATAATAAATAAATAAATAAAACTTACAATCCAAAGTAAACTTATAAAGAGTAAAATAAAAATAAAAAATAAAGTAAAAAGAATAATGATACTTCTGAAAAATAAAAAGTAAAAAAAGAAAATAACAATAATAACTCAAAATAATAATAAATTATGAATGAATCAAAAATAAAAAAGAAAAAGAAAATCACAATCCAAAGTAAACTTACCAAATCAACCAATAAA